GAAAAAAAAGAGAAATTGGGAAAACTCGCAGCTGGCTTTTCTTTATATTCCATTTGCGTTTATTTATTTATCTCTCTCTCTCTCTCTCCCTCTCCTCTAAATAAATCATACGTCCTAATTGAATGCGACCTCTTTCCCTAAACAAAATACTGTTTGTTACCGAACTCGCCGCATCGATTTTATCCTGTCACAATTTTTCTTTTCTTTTTTTCGTTATTTTCAGGAAGAAGAGAATAAACATTTTTTTCCTTTTTTTTTGGTAAGTCAAGTCCACGCTCCTTCTGATTGATGATCGTCGATGATTTGTTTTTAGGGGGTTGCTAGCAAAGTTAATGGTATCGATTAAGGGCTAAAATTATTTTATTTTCTGTGCTTGTTTCATTATGTGCGGTATTTTATCTTCGTTCTTCCCACAAATTGATAATATCGATATTTTACTGAATACTGAAGATAAATTGCAAATCAATTATGTTACATTTTTAATTTCTTCAATGCATCAAGCATAATAATATTATTAAAAAATAATGTTCATTAATTCATGTAAAATCCAGATTATTTAAAATTTTCAACATTTTTAAGAATATCAAGTTGCCTATGGAAACATTTTATTTACATACGTTACTATGTCAGTCTCAAAACAAACAAAAGAAAAACTTGAGCAAATTATTTGAGCGTAACGTAACCTCAATTGGATATCTGACAGAGCGCAACAGGTAAAATTTAAAATGTATCTTCAATTTTACAAAATTTAAATTATTTCTATCCAAACTTTTCCTGAGTAAATTAATTTAATTGATCTAAAAAAAAATCACTTTCTTTCCTACAAATTTACTTAAGTTTTACACCGATTTGTTGTACTTGTACTTATTTCTTACTGTTTTCTTGTCCTTGTAGTTTAATACCAAAATCTACTTATCACATAAGATTATTTCTAAAAGTATTATTATAATTTCGTGTTAAAATATAACATTTTGTAGAGAAAATGACAAAAAAAAACAGCTCATCTAAAATGCGTGTGTAATAATTGAAGCGTGCATTTTCAAAACTCGTTACATATCAACAACGGTAATAATAAAAATAAAAAAAATACTGGTCTCGTTATATATTATTTTGTTTATGCATTTTTGAAACAGTTCGGTGCGCAGTTCGCGAGTAATTAAAATCTATCGAAATTCCACCAAAACATCACGAATTTCAAGAGTCGCATTCGCCACAAAAAAAAAAGAAAATAAAACAAATAAATAATAAAACAAATGCCGCAATTCTAATTAGGAGTTTATGTATTGATATTGTTTGTTTGTT